TGGTAGGGGTGGTGGGTGTGATGGTGGTGGTAGGTGTACTTGCCTTGTGCCTGTTGCATAACGTGCAAATTGCAAATTCTTTGTCGAATCTGTCTTTAAAGTTGTAGGTGGAGGTGGCTTCCACAACTTCCTCTTTCACTATATATTGTTGACGACCCCGTACAGCGTACGAGTATTTCCTTCCACTCATTTGTCTTTCCAGCTTCTACCTGTTTCCTGCTTAGTCTTACTTTCTCTCAATCTGAAGAGGCTGTCCTCATCCACCTTATCTATCCCTCATTATCTTGAGTGTTGTGATCATGTCTCCTCTGTGCCTTTTATGATCATGTCTCCTCTGTGCCTTCTATCCTCTAGAGTTGGAGGATTTAGTTTCATTAGCCTATTTTCGTAGCTTAACCCTTTCCCATCTCATTACCTTACATTTGTAAGGTTAATTCAGGAGGTAAGCACCAACACTCCACCACCATCAACTCCCCCGTCACCAACACATGGCGAAGGGAATTATTGCTCGGGAAGACCTTTACTAATTGTGTGCATCAGAGCACATTAAACAACGTGGGACTGAGGACTCCTTGTGGAGTTACAGGTTCAAAGTGTTTACTCTGTGTAGTTTGAACACCATTAAACAAGAGATTTGCCGTTCGATTTAGACAGATAACCCTTTATCCATTTCAGTAGTTTTCCTTGTATTCCTTGCTCAGCAACCTGTTCTAGTGTGATTTCCCTGTTTGCTGTGTCAAAGGCTCCTGCTAGGTCGATGCAGACTGCTTGAGGTGGTGGGGTGGGGGGGGGCTTCAATATGAGCGAAGTACTCAGCAAAACAGTGTTGTGTGCTGAGCCCAGGCATAAATCCAAACAGTTGGAGTGACAGGTGCCCCTGTATATGATACATGAGTCTTAAGGACAATGCGTTCAAGCACTTTACAAACACACCATGTTGTGTTTGTAAAGTGTTTTATATGGGCCTATAATTATTTGAATGTAGTTTGGGGATAGGAACAAGGCCACTTTGTCCAAGCCTGAGGTAATACCCCTCTTCACTTCCACTCTCTATGACACCACAAGTGTGTTACCGTAGTGTACCACCTGTGGGGGCACGGGAGGGGTGATGGGGCTGGCGAAGGGGGGAAGGGTAGATAAACAGACGGAAGATTAATGGCGCGTCTAGGGACATCAGATGCCCTTCAGGGGCTTTGGCATCCCCTGGGGTCATTCTCAAGTGCTCAGGTCACTCAAGTGGAGTCCCACCAGGTATCTCACCCCCCCCTCCCCTATCTCCCCACACTCCCCCTTCTCTCCCCTCACCACTGCTATTAAAAAAAAGAGAACAATAACTTCATTAATATACAACCATTTATAAATCATTTAGTTCACACACACACACATTCAGTACATTGTTTGCACGAGAGGATGTAATGACAGGTGAACAGATGAGGTTGGGATGAACAGGTGTTACACCCAGAGTAAACACTTAAAGCTGCCTGCGACGCATTAAATCTCACCCTGACCTATCCCAGCCTACCCTGACCTATCCCAGCCTACCCTACACCAATCTACTCTACTTTCCCCTACCCTAACCCAGCCTCGCGTAACCTAGGCAAACTTAACCTAATCTAAGCTTACCTAACCTAAGGAAACTTAACTATATCTTACCTAAAATGACCTACCCGAGCCTACCAGACAGTTCCTTGGTTCTCTTCCCGGAGGATGAAACTTTGAAAAAATAAAAAACCTAGTGTAATGTATAGTGAATAACAGTATTAAAAGAATACTGAATACAGCCCAAACGTAACTGACCATTTGTTATATTGATAAACCAAATTAACCGAAGTGTTTACATCGTTATTTTAACATTAACAAACACACACACGCACACACACACACGCACACACACACACACACGTCTGGTTTAAAATACTGGAAGTAGTCGAAGGATTTGTAATACTAGTTCAGAAAATTTCATTGTAAACATTAAATGAGGATCCCAGAAGTGAGAAAATGTTTGGAGCAGGATTTCAATTTCTTTCTTTATTATGCACCCCATACCCATCCCGTGGGCGGTGGTGGAAAGGGTTACAGAGGCACATAATGGGTTCAGGAACTGAACCCCATAGTTAGTTCAGCTGAGCAAGTGACACTCTTGTGAAGTTAGTTACACAGTTGTTAATGTTATATATATGTTATATATATATATATATATGTTATATATATATATGTTTATATATATATATATATATATATATATATATAATATATATACTGTATAACATACATATAACATATATATATATATATAGGGAGGCCTCGTAGCCTGGTGGATAGCACGCAGGATTCGTAATTCTGTGGCGCGGGTTCGATTCCCGCACGAGGCAGAAACAAATGGGCAAAGTTTCTTTCACCCTGAATGCCCCTGTTACCTAGCAGTAAATAGGTACCTGGGAGTTAGTCAGCTGTCACGGGCTGCTTCCTGGGGGTGGAGGCCTGGTCGCGGACCGGGCCGCGGGGACACTAAAAAGCCCCGAAATCATCTCAAGATATAACCTCAAGATGTTATATATATACATGTTATATATATATGTTATATATATATATGTTATATATATATTATATATTATATAATCATATACACAAATACATATACAGATCAGTAATCTTTTTATATCACCAGTGATTCAACAAGAAGCTCACAACAGTCACTATACATCTGTAGTGAGTCACACAGTTACTAGTGTTGCTCCACACCCACCCAACTGGGCGGCAGCTTTACAGTCATGTGCTCCACACCCACCCAACTGGATGGCAGCTTTACAGTCATGTGCTCCACACCCACCCAACTGGGCGGCAGCTTTACAGTCATGTGCTCCACACCCACCCAACTGGGCGGCAGCTTTACAGTCATGTGCTCCACACCCACCCAACTGGGCGGCAGCTTTACAGTCATGTGCTCCACACCCACCCAACTGGGCGGCAGCTTTACAGTCATGTGCTCCACACCCACCCAACTGGGCGGCAGCTTTACAGTCATGTGCTCCACACCCACCCAACTGGGCGTCAGCTTTACAGTCATGTACAGGCTACACCTACAGTAAGCACATTTCTTATACTTCGCTAAGATTCTCGGCAGTACATCATCATGACTGAAGTACTTACACATTTCTTAGACACCATTGATGGTGGAGCAGGACTGGGATGGGAACAGCATCATGGCTCACCCCGGACGCGCGCCCATTAACCCCTGAACCATGATATGCTAAAGGTCACCCACACCCACACACACCCTGGAGTCCCGCCCGACCAACGCTAAGCGTCTGGAGGCTCTAAGCTCTATGGTACCAAGTCCATTTTTTTTTTTAAGTAACCCCCCTGGAAACACAAACCAAAACTGTCTATTTTCCGCTTGTTACAACTTGAAATAAAGTTGTTACATCTTGGCTTAACGTGTTTATGACGTATTAGAACGTTGTTACAACTTGCTATATTGGTTGTTATAACTGGTTAGGTGTTAAAACTTGTTCGAACGTTGTACCAACGTCGTAGTTTCGGTGTGTATTTGGCGGGCCGCACACCCTCTGGTGCGGGTAATGGAGTTCCTCCCGCTCCAGTGACTCAGTCATAGTTACATCACACTGTTGTGGAATGCACTGAAAGAAGAAGCTGTGAAAGTCAACTCCGTCTACACGGGCTCACCATAGCCCGTACTACATGGAACTTTTTTTTCCAAGTAGCAAATCTTAAACAACAACAACTACTCCGTCTACAACTTTAAGAGAGGCTAGTAGGTAAGCTCTGATAGGAAAGTACACTTCACCCCCCCCCTCCCTCCACCCCCATAACCATGCGTGCAGTGCAACAAGACACATTGGGTATTGTTGCAAAGCGTGCACAATGGTAGGGTGGCGGGGGGTCGCCTCGCCACACGCACTCACCCGTCAACTCACACTAACATATCGCCCGCTAATGTTTTCACGCTGACTTGGCCCCATACCGTCACGCTGTGTTCTCGTTCTCTCTATCTCTCTCTCTCTCTCTGTCTCTCTCTCTCTCTCTCTCTCTCTCTCTCTCTCTCTCTCTCTCTCTCTCTCTCTCTCTCTCTCACTTCTTTGTTTCCGGTGTTGACGTGGAGGGTGAGCTCGGCTGAGGCAAATGAGGCTACAGGGGTGGTGTGTAGCCGTGAAGGGTAGCCCTGGCCTAGTTGTATGTAGCTCTGCGGCCCTAGACCTGGCAATGCAGGGCTGATATTTGGTCACTGCAGCGATATTCGTTAACCCGCTCACTGGGTTTGTGTGCGTGTGTGGGGGGGGGGGGGGGGGTGGGCATGGGGGGGTGTTACATGGGGTGTGGGGATGCAAAGTGGTAATGTGGGAGGGAGAGGGGGGGGGGTCGAAGTGTGTGAGGTAAAGGGGTCACAATCATACCGTTCCTTTCACACCTGCTCCGTAATTGACGCAATTCGTTATGGGGTGGTTGGGCAGCGAGGTAACGACCCCCACAATACACGATTGTTTCACCCGCTTGTTAGGCGCGATTGACGGCGATGAAGCGTCTCGGGCCAGGAATGTGTTTTTGCTTGTTTGTTTCACTGATGATGACGTAAACAGCAGGGCTAATCCGGGCTCTGGTCCGGGTCTTCATAGGCTCACTGGCTCTGGCGACTAACAGAGGTCTGGTCTAATATTTACCAGTGGTCTCTTCTTTCTTGACCCGATATTCTAAGAATGGTCCGATCTTCTCCCAGAGGTCCAAACATGCTCGAGGGAATCATTAAACAACAGAGGATCGATCGTGTCAATGTCGAGCCTCTGTTAAATCGACCTCGAAAGCCCAGATTTGTCCAGGAAGGTGTTCAGTAGTGGTGTAGATTAGTAGGGGGAGGGGTGTCTTAAACCCCGCCCTGGAGAGTCGTGGTGCCCTGTACTAACACTGTTGTACACCTTCCAGGACGCAAGCCCCGCCCTGGAGAGTGGTGGTGCCCTGTACTAACACTGTTGTACGCCTTCCAGGACGCAAGCCCCGCCCTGGAGAGTCATGGTGCCCTGTGTGTGGGGTGACACTACGACCCGGGGAGATGGACGCTCACCTCACCCACGAGCTGGACAAGCTGGTCCGTCTTCCCCAGACCCGCCCACTCTCCCAGCGCACGCCCACGCCCACTACCTCCACGTCCACCACCACCACGCCCTCGTCTTCAGCAGTCACCAGCGTCGCCGCCTCAGTCACGTCGCCTCTCAGCCCACATCCAATCCACGCCCGCGCCCGCGACCCCGGCTGGGATGTAAGTACCCAGGAGCTACACACACACACACACACACACACACACACACACACACACACACACACACACACACACACACACAGCCTCGTTTGTTGACAATGTTCTTCCTTCCCTACATTCCGAAGTCCGGCGGCCTCTGTGCTCTTGTCTGACGACTATAGAGCCATTACCCCCGCAACATAGTATTAATATTGTTGTTGTTAGAGATTTAGCTATTCAGAAGGAAGTGTCCATGCAGCACGGGCTATGGTGAGCCCGTAATTACTATAGTATTAATGATAATAGTAAATTATAATCACACAGAAATCCGGGCATTGACTGGCAATACCCGGATTCCCACCTCACAGCCCTGCTGGATTTTCTCCCAATAATCATAATTATATTTATATAGCATGCATTAGACACACGATACAGTGGAGTATACGCAATATATATATTGTATAAAGCCCTCCCGATACCCAGAACTTTTTAAATCATTCAGCTAAGTATTTGATTATATACTAAATTTCAAGCTGACGAACTAGACAACCTCTTGACTTTCAGTTTGCATACGATACTTGTTACTCTAGAAACGGTTCCTAGTTTCCTGGGGGAGGAGAATATTTAGTTATACATCTCAAAAGGGCAGCCTTGCTCTCTCTCTCTCTCTCTCTCTCTCTCTCTCTCTCTCTCTCTCTCTCTCTCTCTCTCTCTCTCTCTCTCTCTCTCTCTCTCTCTCTCTCTCTCTCTTATTGATGCTTCCAAAGCTTTGGGCAAAGTTGAACACCAAACATTTTTTTTTTTTAGATAATTGTTGAAAAAAAAATGTACAGTAATACTTATATATTTCTTATGAAGTAGGGAGAGCAGCAGTGGAACCGTAATATTGTCGTCTCTGAAGAATTATTACTAGCAAATGGGGGGGTTAAATTAGGTGCTGTTTTTAGTCCTTTATTACCTGCTTTTTGTCTTGATCCATTATATAAGAGTTATAGAGTCATAGAGCTGAGAGTCATAGAGCTGAGAGTCATAGAGCTGAGAGTCATAGAGCTGAGTCATAGAGCTGAGAGTCATAGAGCTGAGAGTCATAGAGCTGAGAGTCATAGAGCTGGCTGTCACATAATCCAATGTTTTCTCTTACCCTGATGATCTAGTTCTGTTGGCACCAGCCAAAGATACTATGGAATAAAAATGTGTAGATATATGCGTGAAAGATATATAGTGCAGAATATATCCTGACGCTCAGTTGTGGGGAATGTTGCTTTCATCTCACAGGACTCGTTGTAGCCGGATTTTTAACTACAATACTAGGTAGAGTCCAGTAAAGTATTCTGAAACGCATCTGGAACATTGTCTTCAAAGGGCTCGCTCACTTGTACATTTTTCAAGTGTTGGTAGAGATCTTACACGTCAGAACAAATGCCAAAGTGATGGGCTTGATACCTGGTTAAAAGTAAAGGCATTCAACAATCCATGTCTTAATCTGTATGGATATTAACTATGGGACCTGGAAAATGCAATGAAATATAAGAATATCGTTCAGAAACTTCAGATATAAGATAGGAAAGAGTTTAAGAAGCCTCTCCTTATAAAGCATCAGACCAAAACGGAAGAAGTACAAAGGTTCGCAGCAAGGTTTGAGCCAGAGCTAAAAAAGCTAAAACTATAAGGATAGGTTAAGGGAATTACACCTCACAACTCTGGAGAGTTGAGAAATGAAGGGAGACACGATGGCAACATACGAGATACTGAGAAGCCTCTTTATCTTTAAAATGAGAAAAAGTGGGATAAAACAGGTACAACAAGACCACTAAGGGGCACAAAATGCTAAACCTCACTTCTCCGTAGACACTGCCATAAATGGATTCAAAATATTTCACTGAAACAAATAGTCAGTTCACACAGGATTCTGGCGGCGCCAGGCCAGACCACACTGGCTAATGATAAGTTCAATCAGATATTTAAACTCACATAACACCTGTCTACCTCACTGCAGTTCTCGCCACGTCCAGGGAAGGAAGTTAGGAATGGGGAGTGCCTGTGTATTGGCCATTCACCACTTCACTGCTTCTCTGGTGCAGATGAGGAGTCACAATAACGTGACTGAAGAAGCTAACGTTCACCGCTTCTCTGGTAATATTAAGTGACACTGGGAGGCGTCATTTGACAAGTAAATCAAGCAGTACAACAAAGGAAGGACTACGCAAAATTAAAGGACCAGCCTACTAGTATGCAGAACAGACTTAAATTACAAAACCCCTGAGTATTAATTGTAACAATTTTGTATTGTTGAGGTGAACATCCTAGCTAAATTAGTCCCCCATATGAAGGCAAATGAAATTGATAGGCTTAAGTGTGCTTGAACAGGGGAATTAGTACTTAAAATTACAGGGCGGTAGTACAATCCGTGGATCACACTTAGTTAAATTCTCTACCCGTATATTGGCAGCCCACTCGATCCTTCCCTGTGCCCCCCCACCACACACTAACGTTCCCCCTCTCCTAACTTCCCTCACTTCCCTAACTCTTCCCTCACTTCCCTAAACGTTCCTGGTCAGAGAGGAGGCCAGGTCAGAGACCGGGCCGCGAGGACCTTCCCGCCAAACACACACCGAAACTACGACGTTGGTACAACGTTCGAACAAGTTTTAACACCTAACCAGTTATAACAACCAATATAGCAAGTTGTAACAACGTTCTAATACGTCATTAACACGTTAAGCCAAGATGTAACAACTTTATTACAAGTTGTAACAAGAGGAAAATAGAGACAGTTACGGTTTGTGTTTCCAGGGTTGACTCCCCAGGAAACAAGGCAAGGTAACCGCAAGGTAAGGTAAGGTTCCCTCACTCCCCTAAGAGTAGGGGTGTCCAAAACCACGCACCTTTCTCCCTCCTCCCCATCCTTCCTCCCAATCCAAGAACCAATCCTGAGGTCCGAAGTATCAGGTCTTCAGTCTCCAGGCAGACGCTGGTCCTGGTCGCTGAAGCCAGGGAGGCAAAGACCTTGAGGCACTTCCAGAATTGGGTGTGACCTTTCAGTCCTATTGGTTCTCTGTTAACGAGGGGAGGAGCCTTGGGTCTTGGGGTGGTCAAAACATGCTCGAAACTCCACCCCCCTTTGAGTGGACAGCGCTCAGGGATCGTAGTCCTAAGGGTCCGGGTTAGATTCCCGACCGTGGCAGAAATAAATGGGCAGAATTTATTTTACCCTGATGCATCTGTTCACCTAGCAGAAGGTAGATAGCTGGGAGTTAAGACAGCTGCTACGGGATGCTTCGGGATGCGTAGCAGGAAGCTACACACATCCCGTGTGTGTGTGTGTGTTTTAGAGAGAAATATATTTAATAGACATAATACAGAAAATCAATTGGTTAAAAAGCCGGGGTCCAAGAGCTAATAGCTCGATTCTGCGGCGGCACAAATAGTAAATATAAAAGGGCTATCACCTTATTACATGGTGGCGGTGAAGAGTGTTAAGTCGGGCTGTAAAGACACTCAAATTGCTTCTTCTTCACTTGTCTGAATGTAAATCTTAGGAGGCGGAGGGTTCCTCCCTTGCCCCCCCCCCCCTCCTCGCGCCCATCCCCCAACGTACCCCACCCCACCCCGCCCTTACCCAGCCCCCTCCCTCTCCCCAGCTCAACACCCACTCTACCTAAGTGTTTACCTCAGCACGAGTACCATTGCAAAAAGAAACCCAGACCCCATTATCCTTCACGACCGCCCGATCCCATATGCGGAAGTCTGCAGAATACCGGGGCTCCAGTGTAACAAGAGAGCAGTACATAGTACATGAACATCATAACAGCATGAACAAGCCACGTGGAGGATGAACAAACCACGGGCGCCAGTCAGGCGGCAGCAGACAATGTAAAAGTTACACCTCTGTACAGTTAGCCATAGAGTCAGGTCAACGGTCATCGAATCACGAAGAGGTCAGAGTTGATGCCGTCATGATAATCTTCAGGGATTAACCCCTAAACATCAAATGCAAAACCCTCATGTTCAGCTGAGGAGCAGCAGATCATGGGACAGACAGTAGAGTGGGCGTAGCCCAGTAGGGAGGTGTGTGTGGACTCGGAAGGAACATAAGCTCCAGAAAAACTGTGGAACAACATACGAGTAAGTACGGCTCTCTTGTACTAAAGCACCTCATTCAGTACTCATAGCCTCTAGTAGGGAATATAGTTAGGGAGTGTCTTATTTAATTATTTTCAAATAAAGTCATATATTAAGAGTTATAAAATGTGTATTAATGGTTCCTTGTCTTAGTGATATTGGGCCTACCGTCCCCTTTGCCCTAGTGACCTAGTGTCCTTAATTATTCAGTACTCCTCCCCCCGTCCGTCTTCCGTGTTGAGGTGTTAGTATTGGGTGTGTCCCGCCTTATTCTTGTGTACACTATAGTTCCCCAAGGGGTCAGGATTATTCGAGTGTCAGGCCAGGATCCTTGTACCGTTCAATTGTCCCCTACACCTGTCCTGGTAGGTTATTCCATCTGCAAGACCTACGACTCTCACTCCGGTCCCCTGTCCGGTAACTCAGGGTGGTGGCAGCGTCACTCGGTAACTCATACGATAGGCTGTGACTACGATTATCTCTATCTTTCTGTCTCACTCTCCCTCGCCCTCACTCGCTCTCGTTCTCCCTCCCTTGCTCTCGTTCTCGCTCTGCCTCACTCTTCCTCTCTCTCTCTCTCTCTCTCTCTCTCTCTCTCTCTCTCTCTCTCTCTCTCTCTCTCTCTCTCTCTCTCTCTCGCTCTCTCTCTCTCGCTCTCTCTCTCTCTCTCTCTCTCGCTCTCTCTCTCTCGCTCTCTCTCTCTCGCTCTCTCTCTCTCTCTCTCTCTCGCTCTCTCGCGCTCTCTCGCTCTCTCTCTCTCTCTCTCTCTCTCTCTCTCTCTCTCTCTCTCTCTCTCTCTCTCTCTCTCTCTCTCTCTCTCTCTCGCTCTCTCTCTGTTTACTGGTTTACGTCTTCGTATGACGGCCCGAGTGTTAACATCTTACATGATCGATAGCATCTGTTATTACCATAGAAAGAGCGGAGATTGCACGGATAGCTCAGTGGTAGTAGCGGGGGGTGCGGTCGAGATATTACAAGGCGAGATATCTACAATATGTGGTATATTACACCAGATTAATAAATCAGGGATAAAATTTCACATAAAGGACAGATTAAACAAAGCAAAAACAGCCTTAAATCAACTGAGATTACGAAGCCTTAGCAAGAACATACACCTATATACGGCTCTAATCCGCCCGCATCTACAATATCCCCTGTACCACTACACACCTTAAAGACAACTAACGCAAAAACTACGAGTAGTGTTAAGCAAGGCGCCCAGGAGAGCAACACAACACCGTCCAATATATGATCAGACAATCCAGGAGCTCCATGAACTTCTGAACATACAACTCCTGAACATCAGACTACAGCACCAAGCCACCGGGGTGTGGAACACCGTCTTTATGTTAGAAGACCCAGAGTTAGAAAGATTACTCCAAGATGAGACGCCACACTCCCACAGCTGGTGGCCCAAGATGAGACGCCCCGCTCCCACAGCTGGTGGCCCAAGATGAGACGCCCCACTCCTACAGCTGGTGGCCCAAGATGAGACGCCCCACTCCCACAGCTGGTGGCCCAAGATGAGACGCCCCGCTCCCACAGCTGGTGGCCCAAGATGAGACGCCCCACTCCCACAGCTGGTGGCCCAAGATGAGACGCCCCACTCCCACAGCTGGTGGCCCAAGATGAGACGCCCCACTCCCACAGCTGGTGGCCCAAGATGAGACGCCCCACTCCCACAGCTGGTGGCCCAAGATGAGACGCCCACACTCCCACAGCTGGGGCCCAAGATGAGACGCCCCACTCCCACAGCTGGTGGCCCAAGATGAGACGCCCCACTCCCACAGCTGGTGGCCCAAGATGAGACGCCCCACTCCCACAGCTGGTGGCCCAAGATGAGACGCCCCACTCCCACAGCTGGTGGCCCAAGATGAGACGCCCCACTCCCACAGCTGGTGGCCCAAGATGAGACGCCCACACTCCCACAGCTGGTGGCCTAAGATGAGACGCCCCACTCCCACAGCTGGTGGCCCAAGATGAGACGCCCCACTCCCACAGCTGGTGGCCCAAGATGAGACGCCCCACTCCCACAGCTGGTGGCCCAAGATGAGACGCCCCACTCCCACAGCTGGTGGCCCAAGATGAGACGCCCCACTCCCACAGCTGGTGGCCCAAGATGAGACGCCACACTCCCACAGCTGGTGGCCCAAGATGAGACGCCCCACTCCTGTGCATTCAGGGAATGGTGCTTTTTTTTTTTTGCTGCATAAGGGGGGGGGGGAGTAAAGAGGAAGGAGAGGCATAGGTGAAGGGAAGTATAGAAGTGGGAAATACAGTGAGAGGTATGAAAGCAGGCGGGCTGTCCGCCTTGCTGACACGATGTGTGGGTGTTGGCAGCTAAGCTAAGCTGACTCCCTCTTGTCAAGGAGCTGTGAGTGTGTGAGAGGTTCTTCACATGTGTTTCACCATATGTGGATGTCTATAGATGAATATTGTGTAGCATTCATATATACACACTCCGATGCTTCCACATGTGTGGTGTTGGCAGCTAAGCTCTGGCTTTCTTGTCAGGGAGCTGTGAGTGTGTGAGAGGTTCTTCACATGTGTTTCACCATATGTGGATGTCTATAGATGAATACTGTGTAGCATTCATATATACACACTCCGTGCTTCCACACATATGTTCTGTTTATCTTTATTATATATATATATATATAATATATAATAATATATATATATATATATATATATATATTTATACATACACACACACACAGCTAGTTAGCTATAGCTAGATACACAGTATATGCTATGTCATATATATTTATATATATATATATATATATATATATATATATATATATATATATATATATATATGTCGTACCTAATAGCCAGAACGCACTTCTCAGCCTACTATTCAAGGCCCGATTTGCCTAATAAGCCAAGTTTTCATGAATTAATGTTTTTTCGTCTACCTAACCTACCTAACCTAACCTACCCTAGCTTTTTTGGCTACCTAACCTAACCTTACCTATAAATATAGGTTAGGTTAGGTTAGGTAGGGTTGGTTAGGTTCGGGCACATATCTACGTTAATTTTAACTCCAATAAAAAAAAATTGACCTCATACATAGAGAAAATGGTTGCTTTATCATTTCATAAGAAAAAAATTATAGTAAATATATTAATTCAGGAAAACTTGGCTTATTAGGCAAATCGGGCCTTGAATAGTAGGCTGAGAAGTGAGTTCTGGCTACTAGGTACGACATATATATATATATATATATATTATATATATATATATATATATATATATATATATATATATATATATATATATATATATATATATATATATATATATATTATATATAAAATCCCTCCCTCCTTCCCTCCCCCTCACACACGTGACTCACCTCTGGCTCCCTCCCTCCTTCCCTCCCCCTCACACACGTGACTCACCTCTGGCTCCCTCCCTCCTTCCCTCCCCCTCACACACGTGACTCACCTCTGGCTCCCTCCTCCTTCCCTCCCCCTCACACACGTGACTCACCTCTGGCTCCCTCCCTCCTTCCCTCCCCCTCACACACGTGACTCACCTCTGGCTCCCTCCCTCCTTCCCTCCCCCTCACACACGTGACTCACCTCTGGCTCTCCCCCGTTTCCCGCAGACATATCAGCGGGTGCGGGCCAACCGACAGGTGCGGCTGCGGGCCAAGAAGCGACGGTCGGGCCGCAGCGAGGAGTGCGGGCCGGCATGCCCCGTGTGCGGAGAGCGAGTGTCCGCCACCACGCCAGAGGACCTCCACGCCCACGTCGAGTCCTGCCTCCGTCGGGTGAGTCTCCTCTCTCTCTCTTCTCCACATTCATCTAATTTATTTGGCTGAAATCATCAACCAACCCTCCGCCTCTCCCTTAAATCACCCCCCCCCATTTTCCCTCTCTCTTCTCCCTCACCCTCCCCTCCTCTCTCGCCCCAAATACTATAGATGTTCACGCAACACGTTATTATTACTATCTTTATTGACTAAATATACAAATTTGAGTGTGATCAGAGTGACGGAAGAGCATGCATCAGAGTGATGTGCTGCTCGTACTCACGGCCACACTATCATACACCAGACAATAGGTCGAAATTGAAGCACATTTCAATTTGAAGCACTGCCACACAGGGCAGGGCAGGTCCATGCAGCTTAAAAATAATAAATCTTTCTTCATTTATTAATATAGACAAATTTGGGATGTGGTGAGTAAACTGTCTCTCTCTGGACCACAGTCCGGGGGCGTGTTGTCCGGACTCCTGCAGGGGGGCGGCGAGGACGAGGTGGTGGACGTGGAGGGCGACGGGCCCTACGAGGAGTACGAGTGGTGTGGTCAGCGCCGAGTGAGGGTGTCCTCCCTGCTCAGGGCGCAGCCTCAGCTCCTGGGTGAGTCCACCACTCGGTGTACTACGGCGGGACTGTGTCTGTGGGGGGGTCAAATATAGTCTTGAAACAACAGCCGCAACTATAGTCACTTTGCCATTTTAGTAAACGTGTGCTTTCCAACGGGGCAGTGAGGATGCGCGGCGTGCGGACCATGGCGGTACTAAACCTCTTCACGACTCCTGCAGATCGCCACAGAGAGGGCGGCGAGCGTAGTGGAGATACCGAGATGACTGGAGGCGGCGGCGTGCTGGAGAGCGGCGAGGGCGGCGCCAGCAGCAGGGTGGAGCCCATGAGTGTGGAGCTGGAGGCCCTGAAGGAGAAGGTGCGGGTATTGGAGAGGGACGGCGCCACTCCCTCCAAGTTCCAGTGTCTGGTGTGTCAGGTGAGTGACCGGGGCAGCAGGTGTTGCACACTATCTCTTCAGAAGGGCTGCGAGCCCTTTCTTCTCGGCGGACTGTAGAATGCCAGCAGAGTTGTCCTGTATTCAGTTTCCTGTTTGCATTGTTTGTGCAATAATTTCATGATATTGCTAAGTTGCAGTAGGCTTGGAGCATCCAGGCAGGTCCCCTGACATTCCTCTACTCTCTCTCCTCCTCCTCCCGCAGACGGAGTACGACCGCCCAGCTGTGTCTGTGGTGTGCTGGCACGTGCTCTGTGAGGCATGCTGGGCTCACACGCTGGTACGTATGCACGCCCATCCCACACCTTCTCGTGACCATTGTTGCTTTACACCGCCCACGTGCAGCCTTCACACTACCAGAAAACACTTTGTTTATCTTAAATCTAGTGTGTGTAAATAAACTCATTTAGCATCAAACCAGCAGTCAACATACATGTTGTATGTATATAACATTTGCGTTAATTTGTCTTCAATTTTATGTACGAGTGTTGCAATTCGAAGCTTCGTAAACGGCTTCACGTGGACAGTATGTGTGTCAGATTTTGCTAAACAATATTATTATTTCATAGTGCAGTATTCATTATATTAGAAATACTAGACGTATGTTCCACCGAATCTGCCCAACCACTTGGGCTGGACGGTAAAGCGACGGTCTCTCTTCATGCAGATCGGCGTTCAATCCCAGACCGTCCAAGTGGTTGGGCACCATTCCGTCCTCCCCGTCCCATCCCAAATCCTTATCCTGATCCCTTCCAAGTGCTATATGGTCGTAATGGCTTGGCGCTTTCTCCTGATAGTCCATTCCCCTTCCCTTCGACTGAATCTATAATGTTTGTATTTTACTCTCATAATTAAAAAAAGTAAAAAAGTAGTTTTTTTTATTGTGGCTCCTCTAGCGGGGTTCGAGTCCCTGGAGCAGCCTCACAAACTCTTGCAGTGAAACTGTTCTTGTGTTATGGATGATGTTAATATTTTTTTTTTCTTACCGTTAAATGTTGTTAAGGATGCTACTGCTGCTAACGTTAATAAATGATGTTTAATGGTGGTAATGTTTGCGTTGGCAGGGCGTGAAGAGCGAGTGTCCTCAGTGCTCGCAGGCCGTCTCCCCCGAGGACCTCCGTCCCATTCACTTGTGACTATCAACACCGGCATAGCAGTTCACCGTGAGCCCCGCCCGTGTCCCCCCCACGCCCGCTGTCACAACCTCATCTTCACAAACGCCCGTGATCTTCGCACCAACAGTCCCGACACCTGTGTTTGTTCCTACATTCGCCACTACGCATGGGGCCTCAGCTACACATCGGACTTTAACCACGCCCACAAATCCAACCACGCACGGTGAGCCAACTAGACCCGGGGCTACAACCCCGCTTGGGGCCCCAACGACGCCCGAGGCTCCAGTCTCACCCGGAGCCTTGATAACTTGCGGGTCCCCAACAATGTTTGGGACACGAACCATGCTTGCCACCTCAGCAGCGCCAGAAACTACAGTCACGCGCGAAACTTCGTCCTCGCCCCCGTGGTCTGAAGACATGCGCGAAGTCCCAACCACGCCCGGAGCCCCAGACTTGCCTGGGTCACCAACCACGCCTGGGGACCCACAAGCAATGCTAGCAGCACCAACATCGCCCGGAATTCCAGCCTCGCCCGGGGCTCCAACCACGCCTGGGGATCCAAACACACCCGGGGCTCCATCTACACCCGGGGCTCCATCTACACCCGGGGCACCAAACACGGCCGGGTTTACGAACACTGAGGCACTCCCCAGAACGGTGACGCACATAGTGCTACCTCTCAAGAGACCAGCCACCTCGTACACACCTACACCCACCTTCACCGGCTGTGTGCCTGTGTCGCCCACCTACCCCATAACACCCACACTCGCCTCAGCGTTTGCCTCCGCACCCGGAAATGCACCCATATCTGTAAATGCTCCCACGCCGACACACCTGCAGATTCCCACAGCTACACCCACAACCTTTCCCCTATCAGCTGGTACTTCCTCGTTTGTGACCATACCGGCTAGCACGCACGTATCAGGGCAGGCATCTCCCACAGCACCGCCCACACCCCATCCACCCACACTCCATCCGCCTGCAAACAGATCCTTGGGCGTCTTTATGTTCACGGCCACACCTTCGTCACCACCTACATCTACCACTTCAGAGTTGTCCCAGGATAGCCTTAATCAACCCAGCCCTCTCCAATCCGTTCTGCCTCAACCTGGTCGTCATCGTTCGAGTCCTCTTCAGCTTAGCCTGCCCCAACCCGACCAGAGCCAACATGGTCTCAATAAACTCAGCCCGCCTCAAGCCTCCCTCTCCCATCTCGGCATACCCCAATCAGACCTGCTCTAACCCGTCTTGTCCAGGCCTCACACGTCCACCTCTGGCGTGTCAACCTCAGGACAGTAATACACGTATGGGACATTCTTAAGATTGTCCTCGTAGGTTCCTCGTCATCACACCACCAGTCATCTCCACGTGCACATTGCCGAAAACTACAAGCATCAATATAACTCATCACCCTGGCTACAGCACATCACCCCCTACACAGTCACATCTTTCCCCACATCACCGTCGTCCCCCCCCCCCCGCCCTCTCATCACCAGTATAAACACTCACTCTTCAGAGACCTACACATAGTAATGGCCCAGAGACCAGGTCGAGACCAAGCTGTTATTCTGTGGGCTTCCCTTGACCCCTGACACCGGGTCACCATCCAATAGATCACTGACCCCACCCGCTTTTAGCCGGATATCAGATCGAAATGATATAGCTCGATCAGATCACCAGCCTTAAGCGGCCCTCCAGGACCACCACAACTCAATTCTACCTCGACAGCAACCTACAACCAAGCCCTAATGAACACTTAAGCCTGCGCGCGCACACTTACACACACACGTACGATCGTGTATATACCTCCCCCCCCCACACACACACACATGTGCTAGTCCTCTCCCCCCCCTCCCCACCCCTGTTGACCTCGCCGACCGGTACGTGCGACGCACTCCAGCGAGGCGTCAGATCCTCCAGTGATGCCCAAGACGTTGGTGTCGCTCTCCAGCGGTAGTCAAGACGCTGGTGTGGCGTCGGCAGGAATCGTTGGTCGTGATGTTTCATCTCCCTCAAAGCTGCTCAAGCAACACATACTGACAGATTGACAAACTAAACGAAAGCAACAATGGAGCTAAACCGTTATATTACAAGAAAAAAAAAGTGTTTCTGATCTTCATAGATTGGAAATTTATATTAAAAATGATTTTGGGTTTTATATATATATATATATACATATATGTACAGTATATATCTTTCCTCCCCCCCCCCCCTCTCCCAACCTCCATCCACCTGTACCTATTTGACTCTTTGGTAAAAATGCTGAAATAAAGTATTGTAAAATTTGTAATGAATGTTGGCAGACAATGGAGGCCCTCTCTCATACTTGTCGTTGTGTGTCGGTCGTTCACTGCTAAGGGCTCCAAATTCTCTTCACTTTAGCGTGTAAAGTCTTGTAGGCAATCTGTAATTTAACCCACTAAAAAGAGCTTTATAATCCATTTATGATAGGCCATGTTTGAGTGTTGATCGAGCTCCAAGCTTTATATGATGTATATGTATTCTAGAGAGGTTACCTAACTTGTGTATGTATAAAGCTTTTTAAACGGCGATGGAGTCATGTGAGACCAACGTTATGTAGTGTAGGGAGGCAAGGGGAGCAGACGGGCGTGGTGGGCGGGGTGACGGGCGGGGAGGGGGACGGGAGATACCCGACCACTCGGCCTCCTTGACTGGGCACACATTTGATGCCCATACTCCAGTATGTGCCCAGTCAGTCGTGTATATATATATCAAAGCTAAATATTAAGAGCCCTCAAGGATTATAATCTCTAAAAGGAGGGTCAGAGTGGTTAAGCGTGTCCCCTCACCCCCCCCCTCCCCCATAGTCTCATCCCCCTCAAAAAGAGTTCAATTTTTTTGTCTTTTCAACCCTTCCTCGTCAGGCCTCTGCCCCTGCCCCCCTAGTGTTGTGTATACCAGAGATGGGTACTCTGTCGTCACGTGACCTGCCTGTGGGACACCTGTCAATTGTTTTCTCCTCCCCCCCCCAACCCCCCTTCCAGATTTCACAAATCTCTCCCACACTTGCTACTACCCGCCCCTCCCTCCCTCCCCCCAGCACACCACCACAGGAGGTCACGTGACTAGAGTAGGCCAGGTATTTATATGGTTTCAGAGTCGTGTCGCCCTAAGAGTTAGGAAAAATAGATGACTAAAAAAAATTGAGCGTTTTCTTTTTTTCTCCTAAAATGTGTTGATACTAAAGCTTTCTGTATGTGGTTCGTTCTTGTAATGTCTGGCTACTTTTCCCACTACACACACAAACTCGTCCCATTATACTCACATCTGCCTACTTATACTATACACTCATCTGACTACTATTACCACCGTACACATACATCCGACTACTACTCGCACCATACAACCTCTGCCTACCCCTTACATTATACACACACCTCTGACTTATTCACACCACACACAATCTGTTCTGTTCTACGTCTCCAGGCCCACCACTAAGAACATCCTGTCTCTGGGTCCTCAAAATCAGGTAGGTACTCCTGCAGTTCAAGTTCAACTCCACACTTTGAGATTCGCCATATATTCTCCCTCAGACACAAAATTCCACCACGAACTTCTCCCCACACAAACCTGTAATTCCATTACCAGTCCATAATAATATGCTTTCCTAATAAAATATAAATACATATATTTACTCAAAATAAATTCCTCCTGATATACCCTTCTGCACGCCGGCCCTGCCGCGGTGGGTACTCCCCCATTTACGGACGAGCCCACACCGAAATTCTCCTCTGGCAGGCTGCCTGGGGCTTCACACCCTCAGTCGCTCACTGACCTCAGACGAACGAGTTTGTGCCGCTCCTGCCTCCAGTCTGTCCCATCTATAACGCTTTATATTCATTCACTATCTTAATAAAATATTCAATCTATGTGCATAAACATTCCTACGATCGATCAATAATAAACAATGTATCAACTAATTAAGTGCGCCTAACGCAGAAAGTGATAATGTGGCGATCTTGCTTACTGGCGCCCTAATATACTTTTGATCGTCCACCAAAAAGCCTTTTGGACTGTCTCATAGTCCCGACTTAGTCTACGAAGTCGCCCGGCAGGTTTCACACAAACACTTGCTCACCTTCCTCCACTCTTAGGATATAACACATTAGGGTCCCCACACAGAACACGACCATCCTGCAGGCTTCAGGTCATCCTTAATACCGTTCAGATCACCGAGAAATGACGTACGACGTCCTCGGCAACTAGCACACTTTGTAACAAGTAGCCATCACTCAAACACTAGACTAAGAACTATATTCTCTCTTCTTCCCAGGAGGCAACGACGTATACGTCCATCCCTGACGACTGTAGCAACTCGAGTGACGAGTCACGTCACAAAATGTCGACATCACATTTCATCTAGCTTCTATAAGATGTTCGTCCTCTGCTTGTCTCTATTAAGTCATAATTTACTGACGATTGCTTAATTAGCTTCCTTCTCCTGACTCCTAATCTCTTGTCAGGTGTGTGGAAGAACTTTCACCAGGTAGCTACCTCACTAGGCTACCTGGGGTTCATAACACCATAGAATAATATACAATTTTGTTAACAAAAGCGCCGAGTAATACAATATAAGCAGAGAGCTTATATAGTATTACGTAACGATCTGTACTACTTGACGCTCCTCGAAGAGCTTCCTGCAGCAAGTGACGGATTGTCAAAATCAATCTTTTTATTTGCCTAAGGATCAATAGAACATTTTCATATATTAGACGAGCAACGATAGAGTTGCTATTATAACTGTAAATGACAAACCACGGCGGAATTTCAAAATCCCGTTCGATGATGATGTTTTAGATTCAGCTACTCTGAACAAAAAGTTCCAAGTAGCACGGCCAGCCCGTCCTCCAAACAAAGACCCAAAAGTGATTCCATGCACCCGCCAAACCCCCAGCTGTTTATGAATGAAAAATGCTTTACACACGCCTCAACTGATGACGTTCGAACACTCCGGAACAAATGCTTCACTAACGAATTTTGTTCGAATCACAACGCTATAAATGCTTCACCCACGTACTACAAATACAAATACTCGCCTACAGAACCTAAACACCTAACCTGACCTATGTCAATATATGCACAATATGCTATTATAATATTAATTTATAGTTGAGAAAATAACCGTTTTGAATGGAACAGCATGTAAAAATCTATGAATGCGTCTGTGGGGTCGACCGCTAGATGTAATGGACTTGAGTCGAGGACGGGTTATGGTGAGCCCGTAGTAGACTTCCTCCAGCTCGATAATACTAGGACAAATGGGGTACCCTTTGACAAGCCGTCTGCCTCCTGTTCCCGGTAAATTTAGGCAAACGGAGATTTAACAAACTAAGAAATTGCGAATTATTTAACACATTCAAATATATCTATAAAACACAGTATTCACTACAGGAGTGGGGGATCCTAACGACCTGCACTACAGGAGTGGGGATCCTAACGACCTGCACTACAGGAGTGGGGATCCTAACGACCTGCACTACAGGAGTGGGGATCCTAACGACCTGCACTACAGGCGTGGGGATCCTAACGACCTGCACTACAGGCGTGGGGATCCTAACGACCTGCACTACAGGAGTGGGGATCCTAACGACCTGCACTACAGGAGTGGGGATCCTAACGACCTGCACTACAGGAGTGGGGATCCTAACGACCTGCACTACAGGCGTGGGGATCCTAACGACCTGCACTACAGGAGTGGGGATCCTAACGATCTGCACTACAGGAGTGGGGGATCCTAACGACCTGCACTGCAGGCGTGGGGATCCTAACGACCTGCACTACAGGAGTGGGGGATCCTAACGACCTGCACTGCAGGCGTGGGGATTATATAATAAACAGTGATTTGTGTCTGCACATAATACATACATGAATTATAACCTTTAACTTGAACTTTTTAGACATCGACTTTCACGCGAATTATTAAAACTTTTTGGTCCCGATCTTTACGAATCACACAAATAAGCTCGTCAGTTTTCTAAGCATTTAGTGACTTGGTATGATAAGCTGCGCTGAACATGTCACAGCATGATAAAATGTATGAGAATATTGCAAAATACATGAAAACGTGATAAGTGTAATATGTAACAAGTGTAACACGACAAACTATATGAAAACGTGACGTGACAAAACATATGAAAGCCTAACATTACAAACTATATGAAACTTAATAAATTTCAGATAAAATTTTTGTAAATATGACAGTCCTATATAATCCAATATTAATCCTAAATATAACTCAATTGTATTGAAATTAATCAATCAAATAAATGCATAAAAAATCAATCTTAGGGACCGAACTGATCTCAAACAGTAGATCATGAGAAATGGTGTTGTGTTGTACACACTCGAGCTGATGTTGGGCGGAACATTCAAACTCCTGAACTGCTTACTCCTAAGCTCCGCCCCTCTTGATGACCCCTTACGAGGCGAATACATTCCGTTGGCTAAACCTCATGTTCACATTAGGAAAACATCCAATTACCAATAATGTGAAAGATCTCATGGGTAAATCATGTGCTTTCCTGATGTACCAACCCCGGGGAGTGGCTGTAAACAGTTTCCACCCGTCTTATGGGTTACTGTTGGCCCGGTTATCTTTAGTCGACTTCGGGGCTTAGCGTCCCCGCGGCCCGGTCCTCGACCAGGCCTCCTTTTTTGTTACACACCCCCAGGACAACCCGTTCTCGCAAATTCGTAAAGTCAATATTGACTTATTTAATAAGTGCATAGGTGACATACTAAACATAATAGATACCCTTAAAAAGCTTCATAGAAAACACCGACCTTACCTAACCTTGTTATTATCTTAAGATAAGCATCTTATAGCTTCGTAATTACAATTGTTACTTAACCTATTATAGGTATAGGTTAAGTAATAATTGTAATTACGAAGCAATAAGATGCTTATCTTAAGATACTAACAAGGTTAGGTAAGGTCGGTGTTTTCTATGAAGCTTTTTAAGGGTATCTATTATGTTTAGTATGTCACCTATGCACGTAGTTAATAAGTCAATATTGACTATACGAATTTGCGAGAACGGGTTCCCAGGAAGCAGCCCGTAGCAGCTGCTTAACTCCCAGGTACCTATTTACTGCTAGATGAACAGGAGCATCTGGGTGAAAGAAACTGTCCATTTGTTTCTGCCTTCACCAGGGATCGAACCAGGAACCTCAGGACCACGAATCCCGAACGCTGTACACTCAGCTGTCAAACCCCAGATAGTGCTATATTCTGCCCCCTAGATGGTGGCACCAGCAATAAAAGTCAACTCTCACCTCAAGACTTGTTGCACTGGACTGTAAATTGACATGACATGGACTGGGATCGGATGCGCCCAGGCGTACCCGTGAAGGGTTAATCGCGAAGCCTAATGACAAAGTGAATGTTGCTTATCAACGGAAACTAATGAGCCTCTCGGTAAATATACGCACAGACGGGCAGATGATTGGGGCGCTCCAGGAGTCCCTCAGGGTGACAAGCACTGGCCCCGCCCCACACAGAGAACACTGGGCAGCAAAACCAAGAACTCGGCCCCCACCTCTTCTTCTTCTTGAGAATAGGTGCAGTTTGCATGAAGGGGTAACCCTCCCGATGACTGCACCAGGACAGATGTAAGGAGACGCGTTGATGGTAAAGAGGAGAAGAAAGTCAAAAGCGGTAGACGTGATGGGCCGTAGAGAGAGGAGTGGCGACGAAAACAGAGGCAAACGTCAGAGGGAGACTCCCCGCACCGGGGGGCGGGGCGTCATGGTCACGGTGGCAGCTGATCCAGGCACGGCGTAGCGGTGTGCGCAAGACGGGAACTAATATTTCTCAGGAAACTTACGGTACGGAAAGCGCAAGCGGTACGCTTCCCAAACCACCCACAGGTCGGCGGGCAGCCGGCCATCAGGCTGGCCCCCACCTAAAACGCAAAAGTCATCCAGTACCTAGCCCGCCCCCTTCCACTCCGTTCCGGCAGAGCAGAAGCCGGCCGCCCACCACGGCTGAGGGCACACCAGGAGCCCACCAAGACCTACCAACTCCCGGCACTTCTTGGCCAAGTCGGTGCCGGACACCGTCACCCTGTCGGAAAAACCAGCCAAAAAACGTTCAAAATCTATAAACTAACCTATGACCCAAGGCGATATGTGCGCCTGGCGTCGTAACAGTCCGGAACGTTGAACAGGAATGCCAAACGGCAGTATCAAAAACCAAAATTTTCGAAACAGACCTTAATCCAGCGGCTCCCAGGCGGAGCAGGTGTCCAGACGTCCGTTCGTCGTCAAGGGCGAACCAGGAGCCTTCATAGGACGGGTTGTTGTGCTGAAGGTCATTTTCCCGCCCTTGCATTTCATTGGTGGAAACTCTGTGTTTACATCCACCAGAGCAGCCAATCCCTGAGTTTCGTTTCATAAGGAAAGTTCTTATCTTTCAAAGTAAAGATCGTATCTTTACAAGTCTCAAAGTAAACAAACATATTTACTATGAGACTTGTCAGATTATTGATAATTGGATATTTTCTGAATATAAACATTAGTTTTAGCCAATGGGGATGTAGTCACCTGGTAGACGTCATCAAGGGGGCGGAGCTTAGTAACAAGTCGGTCAGTAGTTTCTAAAGTCCGCCCACTGATGACGTCAGCTCATTTGACTAGCACAACGTCCCCGTAGTAAATATTCGTTTGATATTTATTCATAACAAACAATATGAAGAATAAATTGGAAATTAATTTTTTTTACGAACTTGTATTAGGCAAAATTAAATTTAATTAATATATATATATTTTTTAATTATTCTTATTCTTATGATAGGATTCAGGCGCTAAGTTCCAGGTTTCAGTGTTCATTCTAATACTATTGGAACACATGATTTCTGTGGAACTCACGAGCCAATAACAGCAGAGAAAACGTGGGCAAGGCGAGCCTTAATGCAGCTCATGTCAAAGGTTATATATATGTACCACAAACACAAGTTGCATTTATTGAATCCCAGCTCCATTACTGTAGGCTGTCAGGATCTCCACCTCAGCATTGCACACTGGCAGCTAGAAATAACTCCTGTGATTGTTGTATTATTGACCTCTATGTTGGGGTGCCAGAGTCAGAGCAGGAATGGCCCATCAGTCCGCAGTCTTACCTGTGTTTCTAGAGAAGAAAGAAAGACAGAGAGAGCACAAGTAGGAGGTTATTGCGAAGCCTTACTCCCCAGCTGTTTTCTGTATCTGTCAAATTATATAAACAGAAAAGTAATAAATTTTTCTGAACTTGTTAAATAAGACACCTATTAAGGTTACAAATGAACAAATGTGTTGCCATTCTCTGCTTCTACACATTTGATTACTTAGTGAAGGTCACTGACGGCTTTACTGTACAAGTTGTTTTATGTACCTAACCCTTTATGGATCCACTTTAACAAATAAATTTGATATCGTATGATTAAAATATACTTCTAATATTAGTATTATAATCCTGAATTATCACTTATGATAAAAGAAAATTATGGTAATACTAGGATCAAAATGCTCTGGTGTTTCACGTATTAGTAAATTACGCACAAACTTAAAAAAATACCAAATACTTTTACTTCTTTCTCAGTTGACCCTATTAATATAGGATATAAAATAGAACACAATATATTTTGAATTCTAGAATTTATCTCTTAATTTCATTAATTGTATTAACATCATCAAGACAACATATTTTTGTTGTACATAAATGGGAATATTTACAAAAAAAACACACACACACATTTTAACATTATGTTGAGCATCGACAATAACAATTATAGTACTAAGATGTCCCCAGACTGTATGTAAGAGTTCATACGAACGGTGGCCCATGGTTCACTGAGGACATTGTCTTACAACACACCCGACAGCGGGAAGAGGCTATGGAATCATCAGGGGGGAAAGCACTAAGCCATTACGACTATATAGCACTTCGAAGGGGTCAGGATACGGATTTGAGATGGGATGGAGGGGGGGAAGAAGGGAATGGTGCCCAACCACTTATGAACGGTCGGGGATTGAATGCCAACCTGCATGAAATCAGATCGTGGCTCTACCGTCTAGTCCAAGCGGTTAGTCATCACATCACTCGCTGGAGGAGCAAGCAGTCACTACTCCAGCAGTGCCTGCTTCACAGCTGCCAAACAGTTGACAAGTTACTGGCAGTCGCTGGCAGACCATCACCGCAGATTATCGGTCGGTTGTGTTGTCGTAAGTGTTGGACCCATGAGCAGGTGCCTCGGTGTTGGTACACTGTGGCTGAAGAAACAAGCAGCGTGGACACTGATACACCCAGGTGACTGGGTGTGGTGTGGTGGGGTCACAGATACACTCGCCGGAGGTCACCGGGCGCTGTGATGACGCTACACTGAGGACACAGCTTCTTAGCCGCCTGTTGAGGGGGAAGAGTTTCGGTCGAGAGCTTTGTAAAGTATTACACAACTTATAAGTACACAAGTTACGCGAATTAACTATTAATACAAACAGAAAACAAAAGTGACCACTCAGAAAGTTTTCATAATCAATATTTAAGGTTTGACAAATTTATTGTACGAAATAAAAGTGTCTTGTTGAATCCCTGGAAAAAAATACATTACTGATATTACAAACTGATTTAGTAATGCATTAAACTAATTCCCTCTGTTGATAATGTAATGAACAACATGTCAAACTTGTGTTTGACATTAACACGCCTATAAACGCAGACACAAATACCTAAATTAGCTTTAATAAAAGCAAGAAGGTTAAATAACAATTCTCAGCGAATATTCGCTTGGACGTTGTTAATATACAGTCCGTTACCCCTTGAAATAATTCCGGGTCGTACATTAGATAAACACATACAAGGATTTTATTCTGAAGTGAATGGAGACGAGTTCTGTCTTTGCTCTTAATGCTGGTTACCTCATAAAAATTAAAAACAAAACAAAGATTCAAATATACATTTGCATATGATTAGAATTAGGTTATTTATCACTATCTTTTGCGGAGCCCCTCGTTATCCCGGGGGTGACGTCACGAACAACTGGGTTACAGATGAGGTTATCTTGAGATGATTTCGGGGCTTTAGTGTCCCCGCGGCCCGGTCCTCGACCAGGCCTCCACCCCCAGGAAGCAGCCCGTGACAGCTGACTAACACCCAGGTACCTATTTTACTGCTAGGTAACAGGGGCATAGGATGAAAGAAACTCTGCCCATTGTTTCTCGCCGGCGCCTGGGTTCGAACCCAGGATCACAGGATCACAAGTCCAGCGTGCTGTCCGCTCGGCCGATCCACTCAATGAGAGTGGAATTACGTGCAGGAGATGGCTGTTTTGGGAGGGTGTTGAGCAGTCAAGGATCTGTATGGCATAGTATCACACGGAGCCGGTGTCTTGCCCTGTTGGGCACCGGAGCCCACGGTCTAAGACGACCTGATTGGTCAGTGTTCGTCCAACTTTCTCATTTCTGATCCAGGTTCATCTACAATATTAGGCCGGAGCTTTAACACTGGGTTCATTTCATAGAGACCTGTGTCAGATGGTCCGGAATCACATTATGGTGGGTTGTGCTCTTTCTTCATAGTTATTAAAGTTATTTTAACACAATCATGGAGGTTTGTACCATATCCTCACCTTAGAATCCGGCTGCTTCTCCCTCAAAGCATTTCCAAAAATAACCCTCTCCTCAACTCTGCCTTCTACCGCCTTTTCAAGCAACGTCTCAACCCATTCTCCAACTTATTCTTCAACTCATTCCCCAACCCACTTCAACGCTTTCGACCAGAGTTAGAATTCCGGTGCTTTAGACATTAAAAAAAGCACGGTAATGTCGACACTTCCTCGAACTGCTAGGCATCTTTCTCGACATGTTAGGGCAAAGCTCAACCTCGAATTTGACGCTTGAGAATGGCAGGAGAGTTGAGATGTTTTCCCCTAGATGGTCCGGGGCGACCACTCTTGGGTCATTAGTCACCTTCCCTCCCCTATATGGTCCGGGGCGACCATTCTTGGGTCATTAGTCACCTTCCCTCCCCTATATGGTCCGGGGCGACCATTCTTGGGTCATTAGTCACCTTCCCTCCCCTATATGGTCCGGGGCGACCATTCTTGGGTCATTAGTCACCTTCCCTCCCCTATATGGTCCGGGGCGACCACTCTTGGGTCATTAGTCACCTTCCCTCCACAAGATGCTGTCACCTTTCAGTCACCTACAAGCCCTCTCTGGAAATAGTGTTACGAGACTAGGCTAGGTACGCTAGGCTAGTCTCGAAATAAATAGTGTTACTAGGCAAGGCTAGGGCTAGGCTAGGCTCGCCTCGTCTCGTCTGGCCATGGCTTGGCTAGGCTAAGTTGGGCTGGCCTGGGCTAGACCAGACTGGTTCCCGCTGTTGTATTTCAGCCGATCAGCAACCAGACGCAAGGCAGCTGTGCAAGACACATCAGTGAGAATCAAAAATAGTTTTACCATATTAGTGTTTTTTTCTTCACCTTTTCAGAAAAATATTAAATAGTGTGACAAGGTTAAGGCAGGACTGAGAAGGCTGGGCAGACTGCATATTTCTGGACTACCAAAAGGCCTTTGATACAGTACCGCACATGAGACTGCTATAACTGATAAGCTTAGGTCAGGTGGCAAGGGAGGGAAGAAGCCTTGGTGTATACATACCTGACTTGACTATAATACTCACATAGTCAAAATCTTCAAAACTGTTGACATCAAAATAGAAAATCTGATACTATGTCTCTTTTTTGCTCTTATCTACAGACGTGTAGATAAGAGCATATTATACACACACACACACACACACACAGGAAGCAACTCCGTGACAGCTGACTAACTCCCAGGTACCTATTTACTGCTAGGTAACAGGGGGGAGGGGGCATCAGGGTGAAATAAACTCTGTCCATTTTTACACACAGAGATCACACTAACGTGATGCATCAAATGAACAAATCCACAAGGGCCGTGACGAGGATCGAATCCTCGTCACGACCCTTGTGGATTTGTTCTCTGCCCATTTTGTTTCTGCCATCACCGGAGATCGAACTCGGACCCTACTATTACGAGCCCAGAGCGCTGTTCACTCAGCTATCAGGCCCCCCTATACGTGTGTGTGTATATAAGATATATAAGACTTGGTGACTTACAAGGGCGGGGAGCCAGCACTCCTGACAGTGAACGTGCCAACACACGACAGACACCAGCGGCCTCACGTACTCCCCCTGCACCGTCACCGTCGTCGTCACCGTCACCGTCACCGTCACCGTCGTCGTCCACACCCAGGCGCCACACGTCGGTATTCACCATCATAAACATGCAATGAAGATACAAATAAAACGCGACTCTGAGCACATACAAATTTTCTATGTAAAAAAGTATTAATTTTTCCCTCACGAAGCCTTCCCTTAGTAAGAAATATTACCACACATTAAACAAGCTCAACTGTAAGAGTCATACACCACAGTATACCACAGTACACCACAGTATACCACAGTACACCATAGTACACCACAGTACACCACAGTATACCACAGTACACCACAGTACACCACAGTACACCATAGTACACCACAGTACACCACACTACACACCCGGCCTCACAACATCCTTCCAAGTTTAATAATGAAATACTTTGGATGTGAAGTAATGTCTTAATAAAACGGACTCCCGTCTTGACAAGACGTTCTCCTCTAACGCTACAATCCATTAAGCATCTATGGTGAAAGGAGATCTGGAAGACCCAGCCAGCATCCACGTGCTCTTCAACCCGCTACTGAAGGGCTCCGACACTCAAAATTTCGAAAGCTCTAGACGGAATCCCGAAGGGACGGACATTATGAAGGAAGGAAGAAATTTTCAGGAGAAAGCGCCAAGCCATTACGACTATATAGCCCTTGGAAGTGGTCAGGATAAGGATTTGGGATGGGACGGGGGCAAGGAACGGACATTATGAGAAGAAAGCGTTAAGCCAGTGATGGCTATACAGCACCTGAAAGCGATATATAAGGACAAGGAGCTTGAATATGAGGGGGGGGGGAGGAAAGAATGTTAGCCAGCCACTTGGACCATTAGGGATTGAACGCCGACCGGCAAGAACCGGGCGTTCGCTGTACTGACGTGACTATGGTTTAAGGTGGTCCTAAACAGCGAGTGTTTAAGGGTGCCCACTCTCCCGAGGCCAGGCATCTTATAATAAGACGCCTGGCCTCTTATTACCTCTTCAATAACCTTTGGTATAGAAGGGAAAGGTTCAAGACGCACTGTGCTCTACAGTACCAGGGCCTTCTGAGACGCAAGAGCAAACACTTTTACGTGCTTCACCATTTAAGTGCTACGAGCTAAAGTAGCCATAGATCTAAGTACTCAGATAAGCCCCCCATCCCAGCTCCATCCAAAGTATCTACAAGGGCCCCCAGATCCCCCCCCCCCAGGTAACCACAATCCCCAGCTTTTAAGGCTCCAGCACAAGGGTTAAAAAGCATCATTCCACCATCACACTTTCGCGCACACACACACACACACACACACACACACACACACACACACACACACACACACACACACACACACACACACACACACACACACACACACCACACACCCACACCCACACACACACACACACACACACCCACAGCAGCAGCAGAATATACTGACGTGACAGACGCGGCAGGAGTAGCGACCTCTGGGCGTCTCCTCCTCCAGCTCCTGAAGTCTGGCCCTCAGTGCCTCCACCAGTGCCAGGCTGCCACCACCGCCACCGCCGCCGCCGCTCCCCTCCGGTCGCCCTGTGCGTTAACTCACTAATTTACGACGCAAGTGTAATCCTATTGGGTGATATATTCACTATATGGATTGGTATTTGTCATTTTGTGGTGGGGAGGGGTGGGAGGTTGGGTGGAGGTTGGGTGGAGGTTGGGTGGAGGGTGGGAGGAGGGGGGAAGTTGGGGGGGGGGGGCAGGAGGGGTGAGAGGTTGGGGGGGGGGGTGAGGGGTGAGAGGTTGGGGGGAGGATCCAGGGGAGGGGGTGATCATGCAATGGGAGGGGTGGTGCTAAATGTTGTGAATGAGAGAGAGAGAGAGAGAGAGAGAGAGAGAGAGAGAGAGAGAGAGAGAGAGAGAGAGAGAGAGAGAGAGAGAGAGAGAGAGAGAGAGAGAGAGAGAGAGAGAGAGAGAGAGAGAGAGAGAGAGAGAGAGAGAGAGAGAGAGAGAGAGAGAGAGAGAGAGAGAGAGAGAGAGAGAGAGAGAGAGAGAGAGAGAGAGAGAGAGAGAGAGAGAGAGAGAGAGAGAGAGAGAGAGAGAGAGAGAGAGAGAGAGAGAGAGAGAGAGAGAGAGAGAGAGAGAGAGAGAGAGAGAGAGAGAGAGAGAGAGAGAGAGAGAGAGAGAGAGAGAGAGAGAGAGAGAAAGAGAGAGAAAGAGAGAGTGAAAGAGAGAGAGTGAAAGAGAGAGAGTGAAAGAGAGAGAGTGAAAGAGAGAGAGAGAGAGAGAGAGAGAGAGAGAGAGAGAGAGAGAGAGAGAGAGAGAGAGAGAGAGAGAGAGAGAGAGAGAGAGAGAGAGAGAGAGAGACTGAATTCGTGTGTATGTACTCACCTAGTTGTGCTTGCCGGGGTTGAGCTTCGGCTCTTCGGTCCAGCGTCTCAACTGTCAATCAACCATGTATGTGTGTGTTTATTTAGTGGGTTGAAGAGGTCCATATAAGCAAGGTACAGAAGTTAGGATACTAACCAGGGTTGGTAGAGTTGACTGACTCGGGACTGAGGCTGTGGCTGCTGCCTGACGTCCCTGCTTCAGTAGACACACCGCTACCTGACGTCCCTGCTTCAGTAGGCACACTGCTGCCTGACGTCCCTGCTTCAGTAGACACACCGCTGCCTGACGTCCCTGCTTCAGTAGACACACCGCTGCCTGACGTCCCTGCTTCAGTAGACACACCGCTGCCTGACGTCCCTGCTTCAGTAGACACACCGCTGCCTGACGTCCCTGCTTCAGTAGACACACCGCTGCCTGACGTCCCTGCTTCAGCAGACACACTGCTCCCTGACGTCCCTGCTTCAGTAGACACACCGCTGCCTGACGTCCCTGCTTCAGCAGACACACTGCTCCCTGACGTCCCTGCTTCAGCAGGCACACTGCTGCCTGACGACCCTGCTTCAGTAGGCACACTGCTGCCTGACGTCCCTGCTTCAGTAGGCACACTGCTGCCTGACGTCCCTGCTTCAGTAGGCACACTGCTGCCTGACGTCCCTGCTTCAGTAGGCACACTGCTGCCTGACGTCCCTGCTTCAGTAGGCACACCGCTGCCTGACGTCCCTACACCATTAGCCTGGCCGTTGCAGGCTGATGCTGCCTCAGTAAGCACACTGCTGCAAAATGAAGGTACACGTCAGCAGTACAAATGAAGGTACACATTAATGACGTCTCAATTAAATTGATGATATTATTATTATTGGAATGATAACAATGATTTTCAGTGCCTGAGTTGCACAGTCGTGGCAGGACATCACGGTACACTCAGTATACCCTTCACGGTCACAGTGTCCGGATACTCCGCTTCAGCTTCCCATCACTGACGTGGCCTTCAGCAGACCACACTGACTGTTAAAAGGAATTGGACCCTTAACCCAATCCCCGACAGCACTCGGTGGTCAGCTAACTGATTGGGTTAAGGGGTCTGAAGACTTCCAATTCTTTTGAATAGTCAGTGTGGTCTAGCGGTATTGGATGGGGATATAGTCATTTACAGATACAAATTGCCTCACATAAAGGTATTATAGAGGCATTCGGTACCCTTGGCTACAGTTAAGTAGCCTCGGGTCTACATGTCCAGGTGTTGAATGTCCTTGGAAGTACGTGATAAGGAACACAACTGGATTCCTGCACCCACAAACAAGGCCACGATTCATTCACCCTTTCCGCAGCCACTTACGGAACCTGTACATCTTTCTCCAAGCATGGCGGCTTTGCTTACATTTATTAAACAGTTTACGAGCTTGAACACTTCACAACCCAAGGTGGTTAATGTTTCAAACAACCTCGAACTTCTGCTATGATTAAGAAAAGATGGACAGGTTTCGTAAGTTAAATGCTCCAGGAGTTCCAGCCCAGATGTAATTATGTCAGTACTGAAATCTACAGTCACTCTCAGCGGTTGAGAGTGACACACTCACGTTGAGGTGTGGTGGGCTGGCGTAGTGGTGGTGTGGTTGTCGACGAGCTCCGTGTCGGAGTGGCAGTCGTTGTGGGGCGACGGGAGGTCAGCGTCGGAGTACTGGACGGGGCCATAGACGGTGCTGGAGTCGTCGCCGCACACGTCCACCAGCTCCTCCTCACTGCCTCGCACCACCTTCGTCCCCAGCGCTGCTCACACCCAACACACAACATTAATAAAAACAGAGCAACATAAAGTTTTTCACTCGAGCAGTGATTTAGGTGAATGGTTGATCTCTCTCTCTCTCTCTCTCTCTCTCTCTCTCTCTCTCTCTCTCTCTCTCTCTCTCTCTCGCTCGCTCTCTCTCTCTCTCTCTCACAAGACAACAATCATGTTTTATTGAGATGATCGAAATGTCTTGACGGCTCGATGACCTTAAGGGACTTTGACTTGAATGATATTGTCTCACACAAACTTGAGCATTTTCATACCTTTCCTAAAAAAAGCAAAGACACATTTGAATGATAAAGCCTTGACACTCTTGTTTAATCGTCTAAATAATACAACTGAACAACTGCCCGAGCAGCTGTACCTCTGCCCGAGCAGCTGTACCTCTGCCCGAGCAGCTGTACCTCTGCTCGAGCAGCTGTACCTCTGCTCGAGCAGCTGTACCTCTGCCCGAGCAGCTGTACCTCAGCCCGAGCAGCTGTACCTCTGCCCGAGCAGCTGTACCTCTGCCCGAGCAGCTGTACCTCTGCTCGAGCAGCTGTACCTCTGCCCGAGCAGCTGTACCTCTGCTCGAGCAGCTGTACCTCTGCCCGAGCAGCTGTACCTCAGCCCGAGCAGCTGTACCTCTGCCCGAGCAGCTGTACCTCTGCCCGAGCAGCTGTACCTCTGCTCGAGCAGCTGTACCTCTGCCCGAGCAGCTGTACCTCTGCCCGAGCAGCTGTACCTCTGCCCGAGCAGCTGTACCTCTGCCCGAGCAGCTGTACCTCTGCTCCAGCAGCTGTACCTCTGCTCGAGCAGCTGTACCTCTGCCCGAGCAGCTGTACCTCTGCCCCAACAGCTGTACCTCTGCCCGAGCAGCTGTACCTCTGCCCGAGCAGCTGTACCTCTGCCCGAGCAGCTGTACCTCTGCCCGAGCAGGTGTTGGGCCAGGTGGAACACGTGTGGCCAAGGTTGCTTACCGTGGAGTTGGCCCTCAGCCCGCAGCATCTGTGTGGCCCTGACGCGAGTCTGGCCACACCACTCGTACTCCTCCACCTCCAGCTCCACCTCCACGTCCTCGTCCTCGTCCTCCGCCTGCCCCCCCACACACAACAATATTAATTATTATTAGGCTATTATGTACCACGGACCCTCCTCCTCCTCCCCCCCACACAAGACTGCCTCCTGGAACCATACGTCGCATTTTTTTAACGGAATCGACCAATCCAGGAAGCCTACCTTCGTATCCGCTTGGCCCACTCTTGGGCGCTCCTCGCGGCCCGCCCTTCTACCCGCCACCAGCTCATCCACTTCGAAGTCTCTGGCGCGGAAGATTGTTAAACACCTGTGAGCTACGGGGCTTATCGTGGCTCTTTTGAAACTCAGATGGGACAAGCTGCCCGCGCCAAAACCTCCTCCCCGGTTGCCCCAGAACATTAATGCTGGACTTTCCTCGCCCCACGACTCTCATTTTTTTTTTACCTTACTGGATGGTTCCCCCTTCAAGAGGACTCTATAGCGACCTTCCTATTATTTCTGTTTACGGGGGAGAGGAGGGGGTGACACATAGTAGGCTTGTGACAGAGCCAGCCATCTGGACCCTTGGAGTGTTTAGCAAATGAGACATAATTATGAGAATGATGTACACCAAGATGGACGGTAGCCTGCCACCCACATAAAGTGGATGACGGCGTGTCACCCCTTCCCCACCAAGGTGGGTGACAAGATACCACCCCACAAGGTACAGGGGTAAGCTAGGTAGGCTCTCGGATACCACACATGGAGGTTATGTGGTCCAGACCTAACACCTGTCTCCTTATTTCCAATTCAAACCAATAAAAACTGAGATTTAAACACACAATCACCATACTCAGGTGATTAATTGATGAAGATTAAGCCCCCAAGAGGTGGCACGGGCATGAATACCCCGTAATTACTCAGGTGTTCTCTCTCTGGTCGCGTACCAACCACAAGGAGATATTACACACTGCACCAAACCTCTTGAGACAACACAAAAGGAAGAGAAGCACGTAATTGCCAGTTAGACACTTACCCGTCGGAGGCACTCGTCGATGTGGGTGATGACGTCATCGTCGTCGTCGTCGTCGTCGTGGAGTGGGAAGTGCTGGTCACACACTGGGCAGGTCCGCTCCGCCTCTAGCTCCTGGTCCTCGGCTGTCCTCCTGCGCTTGGCCCGCACCCGCAGCTGCCGGTTGTGCCTCACCCGCTGGTATGTCTACGGGAGCCAGGTGCGCAGGTGCGGTTAGCTAAGGTGACGCAGGAGACACAGCTAAGCCGGCACGGTTATGTGGTACTTGAGACACGAGGTCAAGGATCTGGGCTCCATCACCCCCCCCCCACCAACCCCCACCACCATCCCCTAACACCCGCCACCAACACCCACTACCACCAACACCACCAACACCCACCACCAACACCACCAAACCCCCCCCCCCTAACACCCCCACCAACACCCCCCTAACACCCCCCCCCCAACAACACCCGCCACCACCACCAACACCCCCCACCACCACCACCCGCAACACCCGCCACCAACACCCGCCACCACCATCCACCACCAACACCCGCCACCAACACCCCCCACCACCACCACCCACCAACACCCGCCACCAACACCCGCCACCAACACCCGCCACCAACACCCGCCACCAACACTCCCATCACCAACACCCCCACCAACACCCACCACCAACACTCCCATCACCAACACCCCCACCCAACACCCCACCAACACCCCCCCCCCACCCCCCCCCACCCCCACCAACACCCCCACCAACACCCCCCCCCAACACCCCACCAACACCCCCACCAACACCCCGGCTCCTATCCACGTATCAGTCAACAGATGAAGAGTGTAGAACACTGCCAACACCCACAGCCCAGTGAGCCACAGTCCTTCCTGCCTCTGTATATATATACAGAAGCAGTATATATATACACATCCGTATATACATTCCATGAAACCCCAGAAATAAGCGCAGTGTGTTCATACTGAACGAAGACACACACTCTAGTGTATGAAGTGTAATCATTTGTTTACACTCGCCCGAGAAAACATACAACAGGAGCCTGGAGTCTGAAAGTACTAAAAGCGGTGTCTTTAAAATCTACTCTTAAAATCTAAATAACAACTTGTATGATAAGAGGTACTGCCGGTGTGGGTCTGAGCTCCTCACCGCGGGTCTGAGCTCCTCACCGCGGGTCTGAGCTCCTCACCGCGGGTCTGCGCTCCTCACCGCGGATCTGAGCTCCTCACCGCGGGTCTGAGCTCCTCACCGCGGGTCTGCGCTCCTCACCGCGGGTCTGAGCTCCTCACCGCGGGTCTGCGCTCCTCACCGCGGGTCTGCGCTCCTCACCGCGGGTCTGCGCTCCTCACCGCGGGTCTGCGCTCCTCACCGCGGGTCTGCGCTCCTCACCGCGGGTCTGAGCTCCTCACCGCGGGTCTGCGCTCCTCACCGCGGGTCTGCGCTCCTCACCGCGGGTCTGCGCTCCTCACCGCGGGTCTGAGCTCCTCACCGCGGGTCTTCTGCGCTCCTCACCGCGGGTCTGCGGGGCTCACCGCGGGTCTGCGGGGCTCATGTGGGTATCAATTTTCCACCTGTGTCCCCTTGTTCGCGTATCACTGGGAGCTAGCTTTAATTGAAATTTAAATAGAATTGAATAGAAATAGAACGCTAAATAGTTTGTCTTTACCCTGTCAATTCCTCTTGAGAATTTTACAGATCGTAATCATGTCTTCTCTAGATCTTTTTTTTTGTCTTTAAGTAACGCGAGGTTTAATTTCAGTAGTCTTTCCTCGTAGCTCGTCCCTCTGAGCTTTGTATATATATATATATATATATATATATATATATATATATATATATATATATATATATATACTGGTTGATACCTGGTTGATGGGGTTCTGGGAGTTCTTCTACTCCCCAAGCCCGGCCCGAGGCCAGGCTCGACTTGTGAGAGTTTGGTCCACCAGGCTGTTGCTTGGAGCGGCCCGCAGGGCCACGTACCCACCACAGCCCGGCTGATCCGGAACTTCTCTTAGAAAACCGTCCAGTTTTCTCTTGAAGATGTCCACGGTTGTTCCGGCAATATTTCTTATGCTCGCTGGGAGGACGTTGAACAACCGCGGACCCCTGATGTTTATACAGTGCTCTCTGATTGTGCCTATGACACCTCTGCTCTTCACAGGTTCAATCTTGCATTTTCTTCCATATCGTTCACTCCAGTACGTTGTTATTTTACTGTGTAGATTTGGGACCTGACCCTCCAGTATTTTCCAGGTGTATATTATTTGGTATCTCTCTCGTCTCCTTTCTAGAGAGTACATTTGGAGAGCTTTGAGACGATCCCAATAATTTAGGTGTTTTATCTCGTCTATGCGTGCCGTATATGTTCTCTGTATTCCCTCTATTTCAGCAATCTCTCCTGCTCTGAAGGGGGAAGTGAGTACTGAGCAGTACTCGAGACGGGACAGCACAAGTGACTTGAAGAGTACAACCATTGTGATGGGATCCCTGGATTTGAAAGTTCTCGTAATCCATCCGATCATTTTTCTGGCTGACGCGATATTTGCTTGGTTATGCTCCCTAAACGTTAGATCGTCGGACATCATTATTCCCAAATCCTTGACATGCTGTTTTCCTACTATGGGAAGATTCGATTGTGTTTTGTACCCTGTATTATGTTTCAGATCCTCATTTTGCCGTACCTGAGTACCTGAAATTTATCACTGTTAAACATCATGTTATTTTCTGCTGCCCAATCAAAAACTTTGTTGACATCTGCTTGTAGTTTTTCAATGTCTTCAGCAGAGGTAATTTTCATGCTGATTTTTGTGTCATCTGCAAAGGACGACACGAAGCTGTGGCGTGTATTTTTGTCTATATCAGATATGAGAATAAGGAACAGTAGCGGTGCAAGGACTGTACCTTGAGGTACAGAGCTTTTAACATCGCTTGGACTCGATTTTATCTGATTGACTGTTACTCTTTGTGTTCTGTTCGACAGGAAATTGAGTATCCAGCGTCCTACTTTTCCAGTTATTCCCATTGACCTCATTTTGTGAGCTATCACCCCATGGTCACATTTGTCGAACGCCTTTGCAAAGTCTGTGTATACAACATCTGCATTTTGCTTTTCTTCTAGGGCTTCTGTGATTTTGTCATAGTGGTTGAGTAACTGTGACAGACAGGATCTTCCCGCTCTAAATCCATGTTGTCCTGGATTGTGCAATTCATTGTTTTCCATAAAACTAGAAATTTGATTCCTAATCACTCTTTCAAACACTTTTATTATGTGTGATGTTAGTGCAACTGGCCTATAATTTTTTGCCAAGGCTTTACTCCCCCCCTTGTGCAACGGAGCTATATCTGCAGATTTAAGTGCTGCTGGTATCTCCCCGGTATCCAGGCTCTTTCTCCATATTACGCTGAGTGCTCTCGCTACTGGTACTTTACATTTCTTTATGAATATTGAATTCCATGAGTCAGGCCCAGGAGCTGAGTGCATAGGCATATTATCAATTTCTCTTTCAAAGTCTTCCGAGTTTGTGGTAATATCCGTTATATTATCTGCAGCTTGAATGTCATTCATAAAGAAGCTGTCTGGGTCATCAACTTTCATGTTGTTTATTGGTGTGCTAAACATAGCCTCATACTGGCTTCTTAGAATTTCACTAATCTCTTTGGTGTCCTCTGTGTACGTACCTTCATTTGTAATTAACGGTCCAATACTGGTCGAGGTTTTGGATTTTGATTTTGCGTATGTGAAAAAATATTTCGGATTTTTCCTTATCTCTTTACATACATACATCTTTACATATTTACATCTCTAAACATACTTGAACTTGAACTTGAAGAAAACTTTCTAGCATCTCTCTGACTCATCTGAGTCTCATGCTTCCATCCAAGCTTTCTTGGTCTATAGCTGTTCACTGCAAACATTTCTCATCTTTTTCCACTCTGTCACTCCTTTTAAGCACTTTATACATCTCTATCATGTCTCGCCTACCTCTACTTTTTCCTAGCATTGTCAGGTTTAGTTCCTTCAGTCTCTCTTCATAACCCCCATCCCTCGCAATCTTGTGTATGTGTACTCACTTAGTTGTGCTTGCGGGGGTTGAGCTCTGGCTCTTTGGTCCCGCCTCTCAACCGTCAATCATTTGGTGTACAGATTCCTGAGCCTACTGGGCTCTATCATATCTACATTTAAAACTGTGTATGGAGTCAGCCTCCACCACATCACTGCTTAATGCATTCCGTCTGTTAACTACTCTGACACCTGAAAAAGTTCTTTCTAACGTCCCTGTGGCTCATTATGGTACTCAATTTCCACCTGTGTCCCCTTGTTCGCGTACCACCAGTGTTAAAATGTTTATCCTTATCTACCCTGTAAATTCCTCTGAGAATTTTGTAGGTAGTGATCATGTCTCCCCTTACTCTTCTGTCTTCCAGTGTCGTGGTGCATTTCACGCAGCCTTTCCTCGTAACGCATGCCTCTTAGTTCTGGTATGCCTAGTGGCATACCTCTGAATTTTTTCCAGCTTCGTCTTGTGCTTGATAAGGTACAGGCTCCATGCTGGGGCTGCATACTCCAGGATTGGTCTTACATATGTGGTGTGCAAGATTCTGAAGGATTCCTTACACAGGTTCCTGAAGGCAGTTCTGATGTTTGCCAGCTTCGCATATGCCGCTGATGTTATTCTTTTAATGTGGGCTTCTGGAGACAGGTTTGGTGTGATATCAACTCCCAGATCTTTCTCTCTGTCCGTTTCATGAAGGACTTCATCTCCTATTCTGTATCCTGTGTCTGGCCTCATCTTTCCTCCTCCTAGTTTCATTACCTTACACTGTGTGTGTGTGTGTGTGTATTAAATATGGATTAAATATATTGTAATTTCAAGTTGGAAAAAAATTATAATTATAAATGTCTAAGCACTTTCGAATAATAAGAGCCAAGAATGAGAGGATAGCAGGACAGGATAGCGGGGCAGGATAGCAGGCGCTCCGGGTATACATACTTTCCAACTCTTGTCGTCGTTGCGACCCGAGGCAGGATAACGTGACTTGAAGGCCTTAGTCGTGGCATTGGACTCCGATGACGTGGAAGGCGTGGGCGTGGAGGTAGTGGGCGTGGGCGTGCGCTGGGAGAGTGGGCGGGTCTGGGGAAGACGGACCAGCTTGTCCAGCTCGTGGGTGAGGTGAGCGTCCATCTCCCCGGGTCGTAGTGTCACCCCACACACAGGGCACCACGACTCTCCAGGGCGGGGCTTGCGTCCTGGAAGGTGTACAACAGTGTTAGTACAGGGCACCACGACTCTCCAGGGCGGGGCTGGCGTCCTGGAAGGTCCTGGAAGGTGTACAACAGTGTTAGTACAGGGCACCACGACTCTCCAGGGCGGGGCTTGCGTCCTGGAAGGTGTACAACAGTGTTAGTACAGGGCACCACGACTCTCCAGGGCGGGGCTTGCGTCCTGGAAGGTGTACAACAGTGTTAGTACAGGGCACCACGACTCTCCAGGGCGGGGCTGGCGTCCTGGAAGGTGTACAACAGTGTTAGTACAGGGCACCACGACTCTCCAGGGCGGGGCTGGCGTCCTGGAAGGTGTACAACAGTGTTAGTACAGGGCACCACGACTCTCCAGGGCGGGGCTTGCGTCCTGGAAGGTGTACAACAGTGTTAGTACAGGGCACCACGACTCTCCAGGGCGGGGCTGGCGTCCTGGAAGGTGTACAACAGTGTTAGTACAGGGCACCACGACTCTCCAGGGCGGGGCTGGCGTCCTGGAAGGTGTACAACAGTGTTAGTACAGGGCACCACGACTCTCCAGGGCGGGGCTGGCGTCCTGGAAGGTGTACAAGCGTTATTACAGGCCACCACGACTCTCCAGGGCGGGGCTGGCGTCCTGGAAGGGACACTGGAAGCTGACAAACAGTTAAGACTCTTTCTAGACAATCTAGAGTCTATATGTCTATTGGAATATCCCACACCGGTATGGAATCCACATGTAGCAAAGCAAAAAAAAATCACACTTTTGCAAAAGACTAGTACTAGAGTAAAGAGGACCAAGCTACGAGGATAGGTTAAGGGAATGAAATTTCCCAACTATAGAGGAAATATAATCCTAACATACAAGATACTTAAGGGACTATACATGGTGGATATGGACAATCTCTTTCTAAACTGAGAGAGAGTACGGCAAGAGGACATCGGTGAAAGCTGGACATGCAAACGAGTCCAACAAATTAAAGATAAAATTCGCACCTTGCTCAGTTGGCCAACAGGTGGAATGCACTGAAAGAAAAAGTTGTGGAAGCCACCTCCATCACCCTCTTCCCCCCACACCACACACATGTATACACCTGCCACCCCCATCACCCTCCTCCCCCACACCACACACATGTATACACCTGCCACCCCCATCACTCTCCTCCCCCACACCACACATGTATACACCTGCCACCCCATCACCCTCCCCCTCCCTGGCTCCAGCCACTTAAGCAGCTCACCACCAATAAATGAGAGCATTAACACCCCACTTACAGGCCAACAGTGGCCAACACCCATGAGCTACACCTCGGGGAGGGGTGTAGGCGCCCCTGGGGTGTAAAATGAGAACGTTTCGGTGGCCCTGGATATGAGAGACGCCCTCCCAGAGGCCCTCATAAATCACGTGGTTATACTTAGTGCCTCACACACTAGTGAGTGGCTCACTCTCATACATACACAAGCCTATGAGGGCTCCCTGTGTACTCGCCTAGTTGGGCTTGTGGGGGTTGAGCTTCGGCTCTTTGGTCCCGCCTCTCATCTGTCAGTCAACTGGTGTACAGGTTCCTGAGCCTTCTGAAGGGGAAAGTGAGTACTGAGCAGTACTCAAGACGGGACAACACAAGTGACTTGAAGAGTACAACCATTGTGATGGGATCTCTGGATTTGAAGGTACTCGTAATCAATCCGATCATTTTTCTGGCTGCCGCAATACTTGCTTGGTTATGCTGCCTAAACGTTAGGTCGTCGGACATCATTATTCCCAAATCCTTGACATGCTGCTTTCCTACTATGGGCAGATTCGATTGTGTTTTGTACCCTGTATTATGTTTCAGATCCTCATTTTTGCCGTACCTGAATACCTGTAATTTATCACTGTTAAACATCATGTTATTTTCTGCTGCCCAATCGAAAACTGTGTTAATATCTTTTTGTAGCTGTAGTATCTGGTAGAGCGACGGTCTCGCTTCATGCAGGTCGACGTTCAATCCCCGACCGTCCCATGTGGTTGGGCACCATTGCGTCCATCCGTCCCATCCCAAACCCTTTATCCTGACCCCTTTCCAGTGCTATATAGTCTTAATGTTTTGGTGCTTTTCCCCCTTCCTGATAACTCCCCCTTCCAGATGTTCTACGAGCCTTTTCCTCGCGATCTTCTCCATCACCTTACAGGGTATACAAAATTAGGGCAACTTGCCTGTGGTTCAGGGCAACTTGCCTGTAGTTCAGGACAACTTGCCTGTCACCCCTTTTTACATAGGCTAGAGGTGGGGAGGAAGAACTAAGGTAAAGAGGAAGACACTGGGGGTGGATGAACAGGGGGAGGGGAGGGGAAGGGAAGAAGACTCACGGCGGAGTGGGGAAAGGGGGAAGAGGGGGGGGGAAGGGGTACGTGGCTCTCCTCATTAATCATTCAGACTTTATTTGTTCACACTGGCACATTCAACTGGCACTCCTGCCCGTCACGATGCCAAGGAGAGCAGTCCCAGTGTATGTGACAGTGCCATGAGTCAAGTACCATGGGTCAAGTACCATGAGTCAGTACCATGAGTCAAGTACCATGAGTCAAGTACCATGAGTCAGTACCAGTACCAGTTTTTCTGATTTAAGGAGAAGGAGGTTGGTTGAGGAGGGGGGACAGAGAGGGTGAGACAGGTGGAGAGAGAGGGGGGGACGGGTGAAGGGGAAGAGTTGACAGTCGGGGAGATAGGGACAGAGGGTGGAGAGAGAGAGGGAGAGAGAGAGAGAGAGAGGAATAGAGGAGGTGAGTGGGAGAATGGGTGGTGGAAAAAAGAGAAGGGGAGAAAGTTGGAAGAGGGGAGAACAGGAACAGGAAAGGAGAGAGAGAGAGAGAGAGAGAGAGAGAGAGAGAGAGAGAGAGAGAGAGAGAGAGAGAGAGAGAGAGAGAGAGAGAGAGAGAGAGAGAGAGAGAGAGAGAGAGAGAGAGAGAGAGAGAGAGAGAAAACCCCCTCAAAATATATATATATATATATATATATATATAATATATATATATATATATATTTATATGTCGTACCTAGTAGCCAGAACGCACTTCTCAGCCTACTATGCAAGGCCCGATTTGCCTAATAAGCCAAGTTTTCATGAATTAATATATTTTCTCAAATTTTTTCTTATGAAATGATAAAGCTACCCATTTCATTATGTATGAGGTCAATTTTTTTTTATTGGAGTTAAAATTAACGTAGATATATGACCGAACCTAACCAACCCTACCTAACCTATCTTTATAGGTTAGGTTAGGTTAGGTAGCCGAAAATGTTAGGTTAGGTTAGGTTAGGTAGGTTAGGTAGTCGAAAAACAATTAATTCATGAAAACTTGGCTTATTAGGCAAATCGGGCCTTGAATAGTAGGCAGAGAAGTGCGTTCTGGCTACTAGGTACGACATTATATATATATATATATATATATATATATATATATATATATATATATATATATATATCTCACACACGAGTATTGGAGCTACAGTTCCCTGGGAAGACCCATCCACGCAGGATAACAAAATAACCAGGAGGACTCCTAGAAGATGAGCACTAAAATATATTGACCACCCACACTACGAGACTAAGAAGATCCACACAGCCTCTTTTTGATCGATACTCTAACACCTGAATACCGAGGAATGTCTTGTAAAGGGAAGGAAGGGGTGGGAAGGAGGAGGGGGGGGGGGGCGAAGGAGGGTGGGGGTGAAAGAGGGAGAAGGGGTGGGGGAGGGGGGAGAGGGTAGAGGCACCAGGTGCGACGCCCGACAAGGTGTCAAGCAGGTGATAATGGCTGACACCTGACTCATGGCGGTAACACGTAATTTACCTGAAACTCTCCTATACTCAGCAGGTAAGGGGGGGTGAGAGGGGGGAGGGGCGACTGAGAGGATGAGCTGATGTAGGATAATCAGAGAGAGAGAGAGAGAGAGAGAGAGAGAGAGAGAGAGAGAGAGAGAGAGAGAGAGAGAGAGAGACAGAAGGAATGGGAGAAAAGAGACAGAGAGCTTTGAGTTTATCGCTACAGAGATCTCCCTGTCCCACTGAGAGATCCAGAACTTCGTGTAACGCCTTATTTGATTGGTCCTCTCCCCCTTCTTCCTACCTTATTCCCCTTTATTCCTTACCCTATGTCTGTTTGCCCCCCCCCCTTTACCTATTCCTTCACCCCCTCCACCCCACCCTACACAACTTCACCCGCTCCACATGTGCATTTAACCCAACATTGTAAAGGGAGGTATGTATTATGTATTACCTGAAGATGTTCCAGAGTGAGGGCGAAACGGCGTAGAAGACAATAAATCCTTCAATAATTACTACTAGAGATTCTTTACTATGAAGTTTAGTAACTATATATATATATATATATATATATATATATATATATATATATATATATATATATATATATATATATATATATATAGTTACTAAACTGAACTATATAGTTAACTGAAAACTTCATACCCCAGAAGGATTCGAACCCAGACAGCCTGGAGCACTATGCAACTGGCGTACCCGGTACCTTAACCACTCGACCAACCGTGACTGTACAAAAGACATTGGTAGCCGAGGCTATATCCCCAACGTCCCGACAGCACTTGGTGGTAGGCTTGGGCATAGTTATTTCATCGAATCACCTCACTTGGTGGGGCCACGTGAGCAACACAAATGCAAACAAGCTTGAATGGTCCCCATTCAAGCTTGGCTTGATGTCATCTGCAAAAGATGATACAGAATTACAGATTGTGTAATTGTTCATGTCTGATATGAGGATGAGAAGTACTGGAGCAAGCACAGTACCCTGGGGCCCTGGCAAGCACGTAGGCCCAAGTTAAATGATTTAAGAAATATTTTTTTATTATTCAACCCCCCCCCCCCCCCCCCCCCCACACCGGTTCAATTCTGATCAAATGTGAAATATTCGACCACAAATCCTAAGACTTTCTCAGCATCAGAAAAAAGTATTTATTTAAACACATAAATTAGTTTAATTTGTACTT